ACAAAAGATGAATTGCGTTTATTTTGATACACCCGTATATATATATATATATATATATATATATATATATATATATATATATATATATATATATATATATATATATATATATATATATATATTTTATATATTTTTTATATATATATATATATATATATATATATATATATATATTTACTGTATATAATTTCTTGTTTGGATAACGAACATTTTAGCCGCCAACAGTACTACGGAAACAAACAAACTTAGGCTTAAATTGAAGCTAAAAAATTTCTCTACAATATTCCCTTATTCTTGAAAAGAGAAAATGCACATATTCCGCGAAAACATTGCCAAGATTTATATAAACCTGCCCGTGCCGAACAAGTTTCGGCAGCCATCTTTCTTCTCTTACACTTTGAATACAGAATATTCCATTTTCATCAAACAAAATAAAAAAAATAATCAGGGACTGGTCATAAAGTAACTGCTAGAGTGGGCTGGAGGTAAATCACAAATTTTGCCAATAAGTTCGGTGACCCATCTTAGGATGTAGATAAAAATTTCAAAGCCCATCTAATCTTACAAAAAATTTTTCATGACCCACCCAATCTAAATTGGGAAAATACACTTTTATAATAAAAAAACTTGCAGGTATGAACATTATAAATATATACACCGGCACTGTATTGACATACGTAATTCCGCCCAAGCTTGACCAACATATTCATCACCAATTAGGCTACGATACTGAGCTGTTCTCCAGTTGGTTGTATTTGCTGTGATTCGACCACTTCTTGTTGTTGTATAAAACAAAGTACTGGCTTCAATAGCATCATTTGCATTAGATAATTCGGATAGTTTTGTTTACTTTTATTATTAATATCTTTATTTTTTGAAGTAGACATGCATGGGTTTTTGTTTGGTGGCCCAACCGTGGACATACAAAAAATTTGGCGGCCTATCGAAACTGCCCAAAGATTTTCCATGGCCCATCCCAAATCCCTCCAGCCCACCCTAGCAGTTACTTTATGACCGGTCCCTTTTTATAAAACAATTAAAAACGTGCGGTTAATTTATTTTTTATTTAAATCTTCATCTGAAATTTATTCAAATCGCTTCATAATGGCCGCCGCCGAAACATCGATCTCGAACTCCCTCCTAAACACACGTCAGCAGGTGGGTTAGAGATAAACGCACCTCCTCGTAGCCAATAGGAAAGCCGCTAATACGTTGGGTATGAGATGAAGAACGTGGACGAGTTTGGCTTATATTACTCTCATAACCTTTATAATTAAGAAATAGAAAACATATTACGTGTTTCTATACAGTTATTAAAAAACGCGTGGGGGTTAAGATATGGTAGTCCCATTGTATTTCGAGTTCTACTTCACGACCACAAGTGTTTCCATACTGTATATACTGAGGATTATTACGTAAAATAGTTTATACAGAAAATGTTTTCTATTTCTTTATACTATAACTGAAGAAAGGTTTATACCCATTTTTATATCAATCCAGTTTTTATGCCGACTTTCGTTATTTTCCTTGCATGTGGGAGAAAACCCACGACTTTCGCCAGAGCGTTGACTGACTCATTTCACTCTCTCCTCCGCAAAGCCACCTTAAGTATTTACAAATAACTTACATGAAGTTTCCTGAATAAAAGTGAGCGCGCGCTGTGTGATGGGAAGATTGAAATGAAGTTGGGGAGGCTCTGCCAATTAATGCGACGAAGTATGGTTTTTGAACCAAACTAGCTGTTTGACCTTTTTTTAAACTTGAAATCAACGAAAATGTGAAAGAAATTGAAATGAATCTTCATAATCTGAGTGTCGAAGTTCAATAGAGTCATTTTTATGAAGAAATGTTGCAACTAAGAGGATATTTATAATTAGATAGCTCGTATCCAATGATATTCGTTTGCAATTTCTCAATATTTTTCGATGCAAATGGACAGAAGAAGAGATTGATATTTAATTCACCCCAGAATACTCAAGTACGCCTGAAAATGAAAGTCGAAAACATGTTTTAACACCCCCCGATGGTTGATCGAACTTCGCTACAAACGATTATATTTGACGCCATATTGATTGCATTAACTCGCAGAAGCTTCCTTTATTTAGCTCTTCCCATCACTCCTTGCGTGCTCACTTTTCCCTCACTAGAAACTTCATGTAAGCCTCTGCGGAGGAGAGAGCTCATTTCACATGATTGGGTATAACGAGAGAATCGAAACCACGCCATCGGTGAAAGGCGCATGTTTTCTGCGCCCACGAAGCCCCTATATACAATCTAAACACGTAATGGCTGATTCTTATATACCTTGGCAGAAATCCACTAGATGATTGCCCAGCCTTTGCTTGTCAATTTTACTATATAAAATAGTCACGTTGCTCTCTATTTAAATCGAAAATTCCCTTTTTGTCTTGTCAAAACTAATAATAATACACATTCACTATACAGCACGTGTTAAAATTGTTTTGTTTACGTTTTGAAAATCTTGACTGCGAGGCAAGAAATTCCCCGTGTTTCCACATATATCATTGAAACATGCTTCTCGACCAATCGACGCACGCGCACTAAAAAATTAAAATATTTTTTATTATTATCACTAACATTGTGTGTTTGCTGCCATTAAATTCGATAGTAACTGAGAAATGAATGTGGACACTAATGCATTTGTATCATGCAGCTGACTAAATTACATCCTATAGGAATCAAGCAATGCGTGTTTGGTTTGTATATGTGGTAGATTGTATACGCTTCGGCATCGCACAGAGAAAGCGTCTTTCATCTATGTTGGTGGTGGGTTCATTTTTCTCGTTGCCCACTCATGTGTAAAGAGTCGTGCAGTCATTGTTCTGCCGAAAGTCGTAGGTTTTCCTGCTCCTCCGGTTTCCTCCTACAGAGAAAGTTGACATGCAGGGTGGGTTTGGACTGAAACACAGTAAATAAAGTAATATCACAACGGTTATAAAAGATGAAATAATCTGGGCTAAGTATGTAACAATTATGCATAGAACTAGAAGAGTAATACTTGATGTTATAAGCGAATTTGGCCATATCTACTTATACATTTGCGCTAAAAGAAATCTTAATTTATCACACACTGAATTGACGCTATGTATATTATATATATGCAGGCAGGGATTTATTTCGAGCGTTACTGAACTATTAATACCTGGCATACTTGTAGAAACAGTCCATCTATAATTTCCTAAAACGTGAATTCTTACTATACTCCATTATCTAAACAACTCACTTCCCGACGCCTATATATACAAAAGCTTGAGCAGCATTTCCTGGTTGACTTATCAGACATCCTGAAAAGGACTAATTAATTGAACATGAAGTGTACACTGTCATGTTAATATAAATAGGTAGTTTGAAGGACAACAGTAAATTTAGCGTTAATCCAAAACGAAGATTGAAGCCAAGGTTGTACCTTGCCAGGTTTGTGTCTTATATACAGTTACAGTTTATGTCCATGTACTATAGTTTTTGTCTTTTAGTCTTAAATCGGTATAGATTTCTCATTCTAAGAAAAGTTAAAATTAATCTGCATGTGTTTTGATTATTATCATAATTTGTCACGTATAGGCCTATATAATCCCTGACTGAGGATATATATACGTGGATTCTATATATGTTTTGTATTGTGCGCATGTATATAATTAATTGAAGTTTTTAATAAATATAATCATGCATTGAAAACTTTTTCGGATTTGAAGTATTATAAATTGAAGGCGGAAGGCAATTTTTGCTTCATTACTGTCGCAGGATATTTCATGACATATACATTGAATTGTTAGTTAAAATATTGTTATGGTGCGTTATTTATGCGTCAAATATATTTTCCAATTAGGTATATTTTCAACCTTTAGGCTTCGGGTTCAAATTATATTAACGCTACCGTAACACAAATAGCATGAAACCTTATACCTTTTATATATTTTTATTT